CCCAACATGGTCTGGTTGCCAAACGCCATGTCTATCCGGGCCGAGGAGCCATGAACATAGGATAAATGAGAATAAGCCCTGGTGCCAGGGTGCTTCCACCGCCACACCTCCTCCACCATGGCCGTCTCGGCCCAGGATAGTAATTCAGTGCCCGGAGGCCTTGCCGGGTTAGAGGAGTCCAGAGCGGAGTTAAGGATGTTGTTAAAATCCCCGGAGATGAGAACTGGCAGCGGAAGGTAGGGAGCCAATTTCTCTAGGATCGTATATAAAACCTGTACATTGAACGGCGGGGGCAGATAAACACTTACCACCGCCATCCGTGTAGCTTGGATATCAAGTACCACAATAGCGAATCTGCCACCTGGGTCTGTGACAGTGTGCAAAACAGTGCAAGGAAGGGATTTATTAATGAGCACTGAGGCCCCCCGGGAGTACGTGGAATAAGTGGCATGCACCATCTTCTGTATCCAGGGGCGTCTCAGGGCCAATACCTTATTACCATCTAAATGAGTCTCCTGTAGCATGATAATATGCGGGTTAAGTTGCTTCAAATAGTTACACACCAGGGATCTCTTAAATTTGTTATTGAGACCCCGTACATTCCAGGATAATACTTTAATGTCATCCAAACCCATAATACCTGTCAATACAAGCGGGTAGGGACCAGTCCCTCTCCGGGTGTAAGCGAGGTGCAGGGCGACACACAACCCCCCAGGATCCCTCAACAACCATAGAACCCCTCTTCCCTGGGAAACACAATAACCAAAACAACAACATTGTCCCGAGACAGGTACACACTAATGTTTCTTGAATCTAAGGATTCGAGAGGACGTCTTGACAATTGTAAACATTGATGCCTTTGATAATAATGGAAAAAATGTTCTTCAAGGCCGATGATATATCTATGTCATAATCTGTATTGCTTATTACTGTACATTTTATGTTGGCTCTCCTACCATAATACGACTCTTTGTACTGTAACCTCCCTTTTTTTTTATACAATAAAAATTTATCTTGGAAAATACTAAATCATACGAGATAAAGGATGTAACGGTTGATAATTAAGTGGTTGATGACGTCATTTGTTTTATTGAAAGCACCAAGGTTAAGTTTCCATTCCACGTTTCAGTGTCATGGAAGATTGTCACATGGTATGAACCAGATAATATATAGATAATCTCAGCCAGCAAGACCATCAATAAACTCCAGACAACAGAAACCACAGCATATTCTACAACATACAGTGCAGAATGAGGTAAAGGGATTACCCTAGATATTATACATATATATATATAGTGATATTCCTAGCGGTTTCTTTTATTATATTTACAGGCCTCTTCTTTATATCCCTAGATAATCTTGCCATTGTGTCTTTTGTTTTTTGCTTGCATATGTACTTATTTTTGTTTTCATTATTGTTTTTCATTTTTGCTTATTTTCTGACCTTGGATTTTCTAAGGCCCATTCACACTAGATGTGGTGACTGGCATTTGTTAGCAATGGAACAATGCTATTCACCACTAGGGCACATTGAGCACACGTGTGATCTGTGGTGCAGTATGCAGTGCGCTGCAAAAAAAATGCAGATATGCGCTGCTGTGCAGGCACATGAATGAAGTGTACTGTTTGTGTACTCCAAATAAAGTTGCACCAAAAAAAAATTTAAACAGTGACTCTGGCAGTATATGATACACCGTACACTGCCGGAGCTGTCACAACACACTAGCCTGCATACTAAAATGTTCTGTTTTAGCGAATGGGCTACTGTGAACAGGCTCTAAGTGTATACATTATATACAGTAGATGTTTTCAGTTTGTCATACTACTGTTATATTGCCACTGCATGATGTCCCTTTATTTTTCATTGTCCTGCTCCTATGTGACAAGGGATTGTTCTGGCTGTACTTACCGTATTTGCCGGCGTATAAGACGGGGTTTGAGACCCAAAAAAATCGCCCGAAAATCGGGGGTCGTCTAGAAGTTAACACTTATGGTACTGAAAATTAACCCTGAGCCACACTCGTGAATACCGCCAGGGAGGTTAGTAAGTGGATTTAAACATTGTTTTGGGCTATACTCGTCTTATACGACGAGTATAGGCCAAAACCTATATTTTTACACAAAAAGTGGGGGGTCGTCTTATACGCCCAGCCATCTTATACGCCGGCAAATACGGTATAATAAATGTAATAATGAACACTCCACCCATGTAGACATTTCTAGACATGTGCGCCTACAGAAAATTGTTTTGTTTCGGATTTTTCATTATTTCGTTTTTCGGGTTCGAAAGTCAATTAGTTTCAGGGTTCGGATTCAGATATTAATTCTGTTAGCAGTAGTATGTACAAACGTTGCAGAAAAGTCACATTAGACAAAAGAAAAAAAACAATTTTTTTTTTTAATTACAGTCCACAGAAGAAAAAAAGCATGTGATTCCCCTCAATTAATACCAGACCCTTTAGGTCTGGTAGGAATATTAGGGGGGAACCCAATGTAAAAAAAACATGGGGTTCCCCCCAAAAGTCATACCAGACCCCTTAGGTCTTTTAACCCTTTCGCTGCCAAGGACGTACGGCATACGGAGCTACAAAAGTGCTTCTGGCTGGCCAGCTCAGTATGCCGTACGGACCTGGCATTTACAGTTCTACTATATACTATATACTATATACTTATAGTAGAACTGTTCCCCGGACTGTCCCCTTTAAATCAATAGCTGTCATCAGCGGCTCACAAGCCGCTGATGACTGCTATCATCCAAAATACCGGGCGCCCCCGCCGGCACCGCTGCTGCCGGCCGCCTGCATCTGGAGTCTCTCATCCCTCCCGGGAGCCACCCCAGGGAGGGATTAGAGACTCCATGGATCCCCGCTGCTTGTAGGGTCTGTGGCAGCGGGGATCCGTAATAAAATCACCGGCGGGGGGAGCGAGCGGCGGCTGGCCGCAATTCAGGATGGCCGAGCGGTGTTACGATCGGAGCCGCTGTCATCCTGTCAGTTTTTGGATGACAGCGGCTCTGTAGCGTGGCCGAGCGGGGGATCGTTAAATATCTTTGATATTTAACGATCCCTCTGTGCAGAGCAAACACCGGAGTGATCATCTGATCACTCCGGTGTTTGCAAATAACTGGGGACACATAGTACTTTGTGTCCCCAGTTATGAATGAACAGGCTGCGATCTACATCAGTACAAAAAAAACTAATAATAGAAAAGCACAACCCCTCCCTCCCCCCACATAACATACACATATTGAGCTTTACGCCATGCACATGCGCTGCAGTGCGTTGTTAGAACGCATCGCAGTGCATGATTTTTTAAATGTATTTTTTTTCTGTTAAAAAAAACATTAAATTAACTGTGGCAGCGCATGGCAAAGGCACGGAGGAGCAAGCGTCAGCTGGCGGGGAGAAGCCACAAGTTTCAGGATGGCCGAGTGGTGAGAAGAACGGAGCCGCTGTCATCCTGTCAGTTTCCGGATGACATCGGCTCTGTGCGTGGCCGAACGGAGGATCGATAAATATGATTGATATTTACCGATCCTCTGTGCAGCACAAACACCGGAGTGATCGTGTGATCACTCCAGTGTTTGTAAATAACTGGGGACACATAGGGGGTTATTCACAAAGCTGCCGAAGGCAGCCATGTGAATTACCGACCCGAAGTGGTGAGCCGAACGCTGTTCGGCTATTTACTTCAAGCTTGTACAGCTGATTTCAGCCGTACAACGGCTTGCTGCGGCAGAGTTCGGGTCGGCCAAAGTGTAGAAGGAGTTTGACTCAGCTGATTTAACATCTGGATCGGCTTAGCCGACCCTCCAGCAGGCGACTCGTTGCTGTTCGGTCTATTCTCATAGGGGCCAAACAGCAGTGAGTGAGTAGTCGAATGCCGCCGAGCGCCATTCGGCTCAGCTATTCTGCTCGGTATCTCTGTGGTACCGAGCAGAATAGAAAAAGGAGAAAAAAAGGAGAAAATGATTGGGCGGAGCTAGCAGTGACAGCTAGCTCCGCCAAACTTTTTTCTATTGGATGGGACCAGCTGTCATTACAATGAGAGCTTGTCAGAACCGGCGGTGATATCAAAGCCGGCTCCAACAAGCTCTCATGACAGTCCAGCGTCCCCTGGTTACTAGGGAACCAGGAGATGCTGAACTGTCATTACACACTGAGAACCCGGCGGAGCCGCTGTGATAGGAGTTTGACTCAGCTGATTCAACATCCTTCTCATTACACACTGAGAACTTGGCAGAGCCGCCGTGATATCACAGCGGCTTCGCCGGGTTCTCAGTGTAAATAAATAAAAAATGTTACATAAAATTGAAATAAAAAAAATTATTAAAAAAAAATGTGTAAAAAAAGAAAAATGAATTAAAAAAAGCACAACCCCTCCCTCCCCCCACATAACATACACATATTGTGGTGCACACCATGCACATGCGCTGCAGTGCGTTGTTAGAACGCATCGCAGTGCATGATTTTTTTTATTTCTTTTTTTTCTTTTAAAAAAAACATTAAAGTAACTGTGGCAGCGCATGGCAAAGGTTTGTGACTCATTGCCATGCGTTGTGATACCTTGTGTTGCAATTAAATATACACCTGTATCATTTTATCACAACACAAACACCAACACAATTTTTTACATAAGTCGCTTATTTACAGTTTTGCATACCTTCATTTTTTTACTTTTTCGCAAAAAGGCGCAATTACAAATTTGCTAATTGCTATTTGGTATTTATTAACTCAATACAGTTTTATCTTTTAGATTTAGTCAACTTGGCTAGCTGATTTGAAAAATGTTCCGGAGGGCTTGGCAGCGAAAGGGTTAAGGGGGATCCCAACACCAACAAAACTAAAACAAAACCTGTGGGGTCCCCTCTAAGATTCCAAACCAGACCCCCACCCCCCGCGCCATACCAGGCAACATGCTCCCGACATGGGGAGGGTGCCAGTTAACGACGCCCGTTGACTCGCCAAAATAAACAAAAGTCCTGATAACCCACCCAAACCCGACAAAGACTCTCTGCAAAATGACAGCTCTGGCCCGAATGTCAACAAATGGACGGAGCAAGCTGTGACATCACGGACAGTGGTGCAACAATCGCCAAAGCGACCCAGGTGGCCGCTATGGGGCCCGGGGCACAGGGTGGCCAGGACATCCCTGATGCCGTGCGGGCTGCCTGGGTCACTAAGGAATCTCATGCTGGTGGCTGTCACTGGCGGCTGTGAAGAGTAACGCACCGCTG